CCTTCCCCTCTCGCTCCCCTTTATCCTCTTCCCCTCCTCTTCCCAAAAATAGTTTGATTATGTTACTAACACTGAGCTAATGGTATACTTATGAGTTAACTAACAAAATCAGTTAGCCAGTTACCATGATACAACAAATTTGCTGAATTTCTGACTTCACCTCTCCATTCCTCTTCACTGTGACTAAATAAACAGTCGAAGTTGGAACTTTTTTTTTTAAATCTGCATATTATGCCAACAGATCCCTCCCCACCTAAACAATTGCAGCTTTTCCTAACAAAGTTTCTTTCACTTATAATTAAGACGTCACTTATCTAAGACTAAAACTTGTAAAAAAGATTTTAATAATATGCGTCTGCCACTAAGAAATTGTCTTGACCCCATTTTTCGTGAAAAGGAGAAAGTAAGGAGAGGAAGAGTACCCTCTTACGCAAAAGCCCGATGCCCTCCCTTCCTAATTCCTTTCAAACAAAATTAAAACCTGCTTTTCCTTTATTTCAACTTGTATGTGAAAGTATAAAATTTGTTTTAAGTGAAAGTTATAAAAAGTAATTCGGCGATAAAATTTTAGAGTTTCGTCGCGACATTTCATAAAGTTTTGTTTCGAGTTGCCCATCCCTCTTTTCTCGTTGTCCTCCTGTTGTCCCTCTTTCCTCATCCCTCAAGCCATGTGTATATATAAATATATTCTCACAGCTGGCATGTAAACCTGTTTCGCTGTATTATAGTACGTCCCAATAGCACATACATACATACACATACATACATACACACACACACACACACACTTCCGCTCATCGTCGTCTTGTTTCGAGTACATTACGCGGGAAATTTCCAATACAATCATTCTCTTCCCATATGTTCTTTGAAGTTTTAAAAATTTCCCTCCCCCTCCCCTTCCCTCGGCTTCCCCACTGCCTTCTACAAATATATGCACACACACACACACCCTTGCAGTCATCTGTACACACGTGAGAGAACAAAATGAAATTATCGCATCAAAAATCACCGCATGAGGCCAATGGCTGCTAATCATGACAATACACAATTTCTCTTTTTGAAAAAAACCAAAAAAAAACTCAAAAAAAAACGCTAAATGTGTAAAATTGTAATTGAATTTTTTTATATAATTACAGCACTTGAATCCTTACCTAAGCACCGTACCTAAACTCTATAATATTAATATTATTTGAATTCTGCGAAATTCCTATCATATTTTAGTGAGAAATTATCACATTCGAGACATCTAATCACTATATCTAGTAAATATTACTTATAATCATTATATTAATGAAATTACATTATATTAGTGAAAATTAATCACTATAATCTCTGGTAAACATTGTACTTCTCAAACACCTCCATCACAAAAAAAGATGTTTTCCTAAAAAAATTAACTCTACTGTCTCGAAAAAAAGATATACTCAACACAAACCAAGGAAATTCCAAAAAAAAGCTAAAACCTTCACATACAGTATCCCACTTGGGAGATAAACGAAACGAACTTTAGGATCGCTAGCTGGCTGACCATCAGGCAAATGTAACACTGGTCAAAGAAACAAGTAGCCAATTGCATAGCTGGAGAATTAAATATGATTTATAAGCTATTGCAAACACTTAAAAAAAATGGAAAAATTAATGAAAATGTTATAAATATTAGGTAATTTTCAATTTTTCATTAATTTGATTAAAAATTACAAAAAAAAAAAAATTAAATAGTAATACATACGTTAAAGTGCTGATCGTAAACGCTTTGAGATCGGCTCCGAAAATGCTTCATTTTGACATCGGGTTTTCACACCTGCAAATCATGATTTCTCATAGAGCATCACATAGAGTACTAAGTACCAAAATCAACTCTGATGATACAACCCTGAACTATGAAGCATCTTATAACTGAATTTTGAAGTTTTGCTATGAATACCCCCAAATTTTTGGTTTTTTTTTTCTTTCCAAAACCAACCTCTGTTTTTCCTTCCAAAAAATCGTTGTTGCAGGATTTAAACAGCGATTACAACAATCCACTTCCTGTCCAAGCCCCAAATTT